GAGATCAAATTTGGCGAGATATCTGTATACGCTTGTTTTATCGAGTTCTTATTTTCATTGACATTTACTTTTAAAAGTAAGTAAGGGAAACAAAATATCAGGCTCAAAATATGAGCTCAAATGGTATTTGATAAGACAATAAATCAAAACAATAGAATATTCTGTTTACAATTATGCTCAGATTATATTACATGCGCATCGGTCGTCAGATTACACCCCAGTTGGTAAGAACGTACGAATAGTTTAAATTATTTTTATTTTTATAGAATTGGGAGCGAGAGAAATGATTATTGAAATGGATTTTCCGTTTAGTATTTTTTATTTATTTACCTTATTTATTATAGTATTGAGTAGTAATGCAAACAATTTTTGTTTATTTATTAAATATTATTTAGTAATACGGATATTAGCTAGGTAAACAAGCTTGATGACAGTAAGATACTGTTTGTACAGATTAATAACCTGCTTTTTACACATAAAACAACAAATTTAATTATCATGTCAATCGCCGCATTCTAATTTGTCTGAAGTGGGGATGCCCCTCCGAGCAATTACTACTAGAGGGAGTCTTCCCCCCTTCACCGCGCTAAATTTTGTAAGCAACATCTACTCCCCCCCCCCGAGGGGGAAATCCCTCTCCTGTAATTGGCTTATTTAATCAGCGTTGCCATGTTTGACAGCGCCAGTTCTGACACATATCAATTTTTATTTGTATTTTACGAAAAATATAATTATTTATAGCGTTGTAAGGGTTGTAAATGTATATTTAAGATTTATTATCTCTAATAATATAGTGAAAACCTGATTTATTTGTAAAAGACCTGTTGAAAATGCTTCTTCAAGATTATATCATAAGTAAGTACAAACAACCTAATTATCAGAGACAGTGCATTAGGCAATCACCTTTAATTTGCAATTAAATTTTCCTATTTTCTTATCGAAAAAGTAAAATTAATAGGGAAAAACTCCCAGCTAAGTTCGTCTTCACCCGTCTCATAATGATTATAATAAAGGTTAATAACTCATTAACATAAATAAAGAAAATTTAAACCTGTGACTTTATTTTAATATCACATCTTTGTAAAGTTTATTGTTATTTTTTTCTTGATATGATAAAAAAAATGGTTCCAAAATTTAGAAATTCAACAAGTGACCACACCTGAATAACTTTTTATGTTAATGAGAATATTTATTAGAGATCTCAGGGGAGGAAAATATTAAAGAAAAATGCAATTTCTCTATTATTAGTATTTGTATTAGTATTATAATTAAGCATTAAATTGGACTAAATATTTAAAAAAGGTATTTTACTCGTTTTATAATTAACATTAGTGCTTCTTTTTTAATAATCTTTTGCTTAATAAGGTATAATTCTGCAGTCAAGAACATGTTGATTACTGAAGAAATGTGTAAGAGGCCAGTTGTGTTCTTAGAATATTTTTTAAGATATTTGAGTTTTAAACGTGTTTTTATTAATATTTTTACTAGTTAATTTTATTTTAAAATAATATTATTCAAAAATAGGTTTAATTAAGGACATTTTAACGGATTTACTTCTCAAATTTATTACAGATAAAAAGAAGCAAAAATTTGATACAAATCAGCCAGAAAAGAGGCCTTTGCTTTCTCGTGGTGATTAGGGGCGGGCAAAATAATCGATTAATCGATTAATCGAATAGTTGATCATTATTGATTTTTTAAATCGATAATCGATTAATCGATTATTTTCGATTACGATTATTTCCGATTAATCGATTATTTTCGATTAATCTAATATATTCGACCAATCGATTAATCGATTATTTTCGATTAATTGATTATTTTCGATTAATTCGATTATTTTCGATTAATCGATTATTTTCGATTAATCGAATATTTTTGATTAATAGATTATTTTCGATTAATCGATTATTTTCAAGTAATCGATTATTTTCGATTAATAGATTATTTTCGATTAATCGATTATTTTCGATTAATCGATTATTTTCGATTAATCGATTATTTCCGATTAATCGATTATTTTGGATTAATCGATTAATCGAAAATAATCGATTATTTTAAATAATCGATAATCGATTATTTATATTGATAATCGCCCAGCCCTAGTGGTGACATGTCATTTGTCAACTTTGTACTCTGTAAACACTGCTAATGCACAAAAATTGTATACAGAGCATGATGTGTACCGAAATATAATCGTTTTCGAGCTTGTTGAAACAAACCTATAAACAACATAATCATGTGTGTATTGTCAATTATTATTATCCGTTGTCTATTAAAAATAAAGGCCAAATACGTCATTGATTTATTTAATAGAAAAGAAAAAATTTAATATTTAACTTAAAACTTGAACTTGTCAATTATTAAGCATAATTATTAATGCTAATACTAATCACAAATCGAGTATAAATGTCCCTATTACATTGTGAAGGTTCAACTCAATCCTTAATCATGTAAATGCAAATACTAATAATAAGGGAGTATAAATAGACCCTAAATTTCGCCGCGAGAGGTATAATAATCAATCCAAAGCAGAGAAACTTAAGTTTCTTTCAAAAAGAATAAGGAAAAAAACAAAGCCACTTTTTTGTTAACAATTTTTTTTAAACTGTAATTTAATCGACTAATTTTGTGTATTGTTTAAATTTTCATATTACTAAATTAATTTTAGGTTAAAAAAAAATTAACCACAAAGATATGTTGGAGTATCCCAAAAAAGTAAAAAGGTTTTAAAATTCTTAAGAAAACTATTCAGAACCAAAAACCTAAAATTTATACTCTGTAAACACTGCTAATGCACAAAAATTGTATACAGAGCATGATTTGTACGAAATATAATCGTTTTCGAGCTTGTTGAAACAAACCTATAAACAACATAATCAAATGTGTATTGTCAATTATTATTATCCGTTGTCTATTAAAAACAAAGGCCAAATACGTCATTGATTTATTTAATAGAAAAGAAAAAATTTAATATTTAACTTAAAACTTGAACTTGTCAATTATTAAGCATAATTATTAATGCTAGTTAGTCTTCATGCCCGAAATATAAAGATATAGGTATAATTATTTGGATATCATGAGTGATTTTTTATTCTATAAATAGAACGTAATTTGCTTCTAAATAACTAATTAACTGTATTATGTAGTAACAAACTAAACAAGAATATCACATTATTCATGTATTTTTTATTTACTAAAAAACGTCTCAAAAAACATTGAATGTTTATTATTGGAGTTTATATCGCTATGCTAAAACAATACTAGAACAACTTAAATAATGTGGATTTTGACTATTTTGAGTTATCCAAATCATTATGATCTAAAAAATGTATTTTTGGTGCTATAGTCAGGTATAAAAACATCCATTTATTTGAGCACAGTTGCAATATACATTTTAATTAGTTTTTAAGTTAATACCTAGTAGGATATCCTAAAATGTATTTTTCCGTTTGATGTGAGATTCATTATGCTACATTTTTGTTGGCGAAATAGGATATTTTAAGATGTCCTAATGTTTTCTCTAATAATTATATAAAAAGTATAGAACAATACAAAGACTTTTTTAACAACACAATTAGTCAATTCAATTATACGATAACTTAAAGCAGAAATCCAGAAAACTTCTAAAAATGTGTTTAAGTGTGTTTTTAGTAGAACAAGGACATATTACAAAATAATTATTAAAAAAAGTCGGCTCCTAATAACACTGACCATAGTTTTTTATAATAAATATTATACAAATCACAACGAACTATACAAAAGACATTATTAATAATTTATAAACAATAAAAAAGTTAAGTACAATGATGACATTGAAAGTTTTCTCGAAATTACTTTTTTCTCCCATTACTTATCTACTATTCTTCTAGCACAATGATATTTTATGAATGTAGTATGAGAAATCTTATATTTTAGGAAAAAAATAATATATTGATTTAATTTAACATAAAATTTTTATTCTCTAAAAGGTTACAGTTACATAAGAAGAAAGTTTAACAAGAATTACCACCTATCAGACACAAAATATCACAATGTTACCAACCAATTGATGGTTCTTCTGGTTTCCGTAAGAAATTCTCCTCGAAACTACTAAAAGAAAAGTGGCAGAAGCAATCGAAGAAGACAAAAAAAGTCTTTTGCAAAACAAAAACAAGAAATTTGTTTAAGAATGTAATTATTGTTTGAAGATTTACCATTAATACTATTTGATAACGTTTTAAGATTATGAAATTCTATATGTATTTTCCTCTTTGATAACCTATGTTTAAATTTTTATTAGGACCAAAAATAAATTATAATTTTCATTTTAACTACAAAACCCTCATAAAATTAAAAAGGGGAAAAACGTCAAATTAGTTATGTACAGGGATCATCAACTCTTTAAACATCTATCTACTTAAAATGTGTTACTTTTAGAAGGTATGCTATTCATTTTCTATTTGAACATATATTAAGCCAATTTATTTTATCTCTGTTTGCTGTATTTTCAAATTTATTTTGATATTAATGTTTTTTTTATGTTCCTCTTTCACATATCCGGGACTTCTTTGATGCATTATCAGCCTTATTTGTTATTCCGAGTGATTTAAATGCATTCGTATTTGCTCATTCTAATCTCTTCTCTTGTAGATCCGTACCCATTTTTCTTATTAATAGTTTAGTTCGCACTGCTCTTTTATTTTTCTTTTTATACAGCTTTAATTCTACAATACTGTAATGCTACAATATGGATCCATTTTTGTGATTTATACTATTTAATTTTAATCGTAAGTGACCAACCTTTTCTTATATCGTTCCTATTAAAATAATTAAGGATTAAATTAAATTTTACCCCACTCAATACAAATTACGATGCACATAATATAACAAAATAATTAATAATTATCATGTATTTACATACAAACTTTTATTAACAGTATAATAATTTGAAACCTATTTTTATTATATTTCAATAAAAAATAGCAAATGAAAACCCAGCAAAGTCAGATTGGTGCTGCCCTCGCTGCTTTGGGTCAGCTGCTCACAGATATCTTATCTGAAGAAGGGGGGAGCAACATGAACTATATAAGGCTAGTTAGTGATGCAGGAAAATTGCTGTTGAATTTTCATCAGACCCAATCAGCTACAAGAAGAAAGTTGATTGCTATAAGCTTACGAAAAGATTTAAAAAATACTCTTATCAACGTGTCATCTGATGGATGGCTTTTTGGGGATAAGCTAAGTGTGAGGATCAAGGCTGCCAATGAATTGGAAAAGTCCAGCTTGGTGCTTATACAAAAAAGTTTTAAAAAATCAACTTCTCGCCCATTGGTTAGTGACAAAAATTTAAACTACCGCCGTCCACTTCGAGCAGTACAACCAGGAGGCAGTCAAAGTGGACGTCAGCAGACCACGCAACAAGCCTTCCAACATCGCCGCATGGCTTCTTACAGGATAACGTTTCAAAACAACAACAACAACAACAACAACAACAACAACAACAACAACAACAACAACAACAACAACAACAACAACAATCAAGACAGTAGGAGGACCAAAATGGAGAACCGAACAACAGTAAGGGCCAGGGACCGATGCAAGCCTTAAGCTACCAAACTAAGGTTAGTACATCAGTGGGAAGATTAAGAGCTTTCATAGCCAAATGGCGAAAACTAACACAAGACAAATTGATTTTGTCTTGGATATCAGGTTTTAAAATTCCTTTTCACAAAACACCAATTTAACTATTTCAACCTGCTGGTCTTATATGGTCAAAAAAGAGGAGAATATACTCATTAGTTGCATCCAACAACTACTTAGATTTGGGGCAATTAGCAAGGTAAAACCATGCAAGGACAATATGTTTCTAATATTTTTCTAATGCCTAAACATGATGGCTCACACAGATTAATTCTAAATTTAAAAAACCTAAATAAATGTATTACAACACATCATTTCAAGTTAGAGGATCATAAAACTGTATCCAACATAATACAAAAAAATTGTTATATGGCAACCTTAGATATCACAGATGCGTATTTTGTTATTCCAATTCATGACGAATATAAGAAGTTTTAAGATTTAAATTTAAAGACACCCTCTTTCAATACAACTGGAGCCATTTTATTAGGTAACTCATACAAAGAGTGCAGGAAAAATGTGTTCTTTACGATAACTTGCTTAGAAAATTTAGGTTTCCTCATTAATTATAAGAAAAGTTCTTTAGAACCAACTCAATGTTGCCCCTATTAGTGTTTTAACTATAGCTCAGTAGACTTTACAATTTCGGTACCCAAAGACAAACAAGTTTCCATTATAAAATTGATAAACTCTTTTTTGACAATTGAATCCTGTCAGATCAGGTTTTTTGCGCAAATGATTGGAAAATTAATTTCTATATGTCCAGCCATTCCTTACGGTTGGCTATATACAAAGCTACTTGAAAGACAAAAATACCTGGCTTTGAAAGGTGTTCATGGTAACTATAATAAATCAATGAAAATACCATCCACTCTTATAAATGACCTTAAATGGTGGTTAACAAAAATTAAAAACTCAAAGAATCCTATTCGCAGAGATAATTTCGATGTTGAAATATTTTCGGACGCTTCCTTGACTGGTTGGGGGTTCATAACAACAACATTAAATCTCATGGTTTTTGGTCCGAAACAGAAAAACAGAATCATATAAATTTTTTAGAACTTAAAGCAGCATTTTTTTGGTCTTAAATGTTTCGCCAAAGAACTTAAAAAATGTAACATTTTGCATCATAGCCATAGCTTACATTAATAGGATGGGGGGCATTCAATATCCAGGTTAAATAATCTATCTCGAGAAATATGGCAGTGGTGCGAAAAAGAGAACTTTTTATTTTTGCCTCTTACATTACTTCAAAAGAAAATAAGGATGCAGATAATGAATCTCGACAATTACATGTTTTGGAAAAATAAAATTTTGTTTAAACTGCATTTTTCGTTACATTTGTCCTTGACACAATATTTACAAAACAATCGTTTGGATTCTGATGAAAAAACTATTTGATACGCCCATGGAAATCACAACTGTCAAACTTTCGTATATACTGGCTTGAAAAAAAGCTTATATTAAACGGCGCATATTACTTATCTATATTTCTTTGAAACATTCTAAATGAATTTAAAAAAATATATCATTGAAACACGATAGGCTATTCAATTCTCGAGATACGCGTGTAAGTGGATTATGACAACCATCATTTGTTAAATGTTTATTTTCATATAACAATGGTCAATTCCTTGTTTCTTGATCAAAATTAATGTAAAATAAAACCAGCAGTTACGGACAATTTATTAAACCATTTAAGAGAGTAAATATTAGTAATTCCAGAAATTTGATGACAGTTATTATCTAGCTCGTTCATTTTTAGATAGTATGCATATATACGTACATACAATTATTAACGTAAAGGATATAATAATCTAAAAACACAATACAAGAATTAAATATAACCCATTCTACCCCTACTAAAGGGATCTATAGTCATAAAAATCATGGGATTTTATCGGAAACACTAACAGCCGTATGCATAGTCGATCGCCAGCGACTCGCCAGCGATTCGCTGGCGATCCGCCGGCGAAATCCCAAAAAGCTGGCGACTCGCCGGAGATTGTCACCGGAATGTCATTTCACGCAAGTTTTTATGTTCTTTTATAGGGAAAAATTTGATATTCGTTCATTATTTTTTGAGTTTTCAGAAATGAATCATGAATAAAATGCGAGAGATACCGGTGATAATCCCTATTAAAGAAAATTAAAACTTGCGTGAAATGACATTTCGGTGACAATCTCCGGCGAGACGCCACCTTTTTGGGCTTTCGCCGGCGGATCGCCAGCGAATCGCTGGCGAAACGCCGGAATGAATCTCTGGCGAGTCGCTGGCGATCGACTATGCATACGGCTGTTAAATTCCCCAAATGTATCAAATACCCGTACTTCCACAATTATTAATGGAGAAAAATCCAAAATCTTCTTTAATAGGATAATTCGATGGTTATAGAAAAATATAGATTTTACTCTCGAGATAAAACTAGGAATATTCTCCAACAAATCTCGCACGTTGTGTTGACTTTCGCTTTGAAAAATGACAAGGCGAATAGGTTCAGAAATTCATCCTTAAGAATTTACCAGTATATATCTTAGAGGCCATTTACGAAAAATTACCCTAACAAACTATATCTATGTACAATAAAACTACATTTGAAAATTACTCCTGACAAAAATCGGTACAAAACCGATCGCGAAAAATCTCCTAAGCTTGTACCGTACAACACAAATCACATACTTTGATTACTATACGGTGCAACACACGCTCAACATAGGGCGCGGCTATGAAGACTAGAGAGAAGGAGGCGAATCGGCAATGGTCAAATTTCAAATTTCCGTCCGCGAAATTGACTGTAGTTGGCATGTCTAATGACAGCGGAGTCAATTTTCTATGTAAGTCCATGTAAAATTAAGTTATTTTTTTTAAAAATTGGTGAAAAGAATCAAAATAATGTAAAAAAATACCTGAGTACAAGTAACATGAGTGATAAAAAAACATTAAAGCAAGATTTATGTCGTTCCAGATTGTAAAACAGAATCAAAATCAAATGTAAAACTAAAGAAAACACAAGAAGAAATCAATTCAATGTCTTTTTCAAGCTTCTAATGTAAGTAAAATAATGTATTCACGTCTAAATATAATATTTATTGTAAACTAGTCACAAGTTTCTATAATATAAAATTTTACAGTTATAGATACTGACTTATAAACAACAATAATTATGCATTAAATTTAACTTACTGGAAAAAAAATATTTTTTATGGTGTTTTAATGTTAAAGAGTTGCTACTGTTATTTTTTTTTTTTACCCCAATTTTGTCATTGTAAATGTTTTTTATAGGATACTTAACGTTTAGAACAGTGGCAGCATATATATCGTTCCTAATGCCGATAAAGCACTTTCTAGAGATGATGCTCTTCTATACTTTTTAGAAGATATCAAATATTATGAGATTATTTTTACTGATGGTACTGTTAGCAAAATAAAAAGGGGAAAGCTGAAATTAAGGGATGAGGTAATACCATGTACATTCCCAAATCTCCCTTTATATTTGTATTACAACAATAAAAAATCTTTTAACTGTGTTTTATTTTACTCTTAAAACTATATATTGGTTCAATCCAAAAAAATTTTTTTCACAAAATTGTACTTATCAAATCTCAGCATTTAAGAAACCTTTTCGAATTTGGTCATAAAATTAAACATGCAAGACTTATTTAGAAATAAATACAACAGTATATTCTGTGCTTTATTTAGCTATAAACAAGTTTATTTTTATTATTTTGACAAAATTATGTATAATTCCCATAAGAAGCCATGTATTTTGAACGCCGTATGCAGTACTAGCGCCCATGCGGTTTATTATAGAAGCTCAGTTAGCATGCGTTTTTTGAGACCATATTTTGAGTATACCGTTTCGTCTCCTTATCTCTAGTCTTCATAGGCGCGGCCATTTTGATGAAATTACTACTAGGTTAGGCAACACATTTTTCCAAAATGTTAAACTGGTAGCCTACATCTTGATATTTTGAGATTTTAAATGAAGGCAACAAATGTAGAAGAAACGTTTATTTATTTTAAATAATATAGAAAAAACTTCTTTGACGTAAAGTTATAATTGCGAGTGCATCTTGAAATAGAGGTGAGTGGTTTTAAATTATTTCTAAAGCTATGCATTCTATTTTACCTTAATATTATGATATTTTTCGCCAGTTCCATGCCCATAAACAAACATTTTATTTTTGTAATTTAATAAAAATCTTTGAGGCTAAACAATCTAATATTATATTTTGCTTTTTTCAGATGTAAATATGGTACGAAACTATAAAATAAAAACAAAAAAATATGAGATTAAAGAAGCTCTAACTAAAAGATATTACCAGAGGAATATACTCTTGCAGGCAAGCTGCAAAAGATAGTTGGTTTTTATCTTATAATTTATCTGAGACAGACACGTTGAATTTTTATAAGTTATTTTTTTAAATTAGTTGTTAAATTTTTAACTAAAACAGAAGTATTGTTCATCTACAAATGGGTATTCTTTCAGTTGTTACAAAGTAAGAAATTGCTTAATATTTTCTATTCAAGAAAATACCCCTATGGGTATTACTGCCCCCACCTCCAACAATATTCTTGTTTTCAAAGATTACACAAGTTTGTTAATTGTATTAACATTATATTGCCGGTGTACATTTACAAAACTCTTACATATCTCCCTACTTTCTGCTTCTATAGCAATCGATGGTCTAGCTACGCTTTTCTTAGTCCATCGACTTAATATTGTAAAAAGGATGTCGACTTATGGTGACTCTAAAAGACGTTTTTGTTACTTTTGTGATACCTGTGTATGTCTAACGTACAAAATCAATGTACCTGGATCAGTGGAACTTTTGCTTATCAGAAATTTCCATTTATCCGAAATTGTTACACAGTTTACGGTACCAAATTAAAAAAAATATTACAGGTTATTTTCTAACTGTTCCAGATAAACTATTTAGCAGACGGGGCTACAGGTGAGGCTGTGGGTTACCTCTAATTTCAGGTGTGTAGATGAGCCAGAGGTAGTAAACCTGAAAGAAATAAAAACAATTATTATACTATAAATGTTCCAGAAAGTAAATAATATTACTTATATGTTTATTTATGTTATTTCGTTTGATTTTAATACTGCTCCTATCTATTGAAGTAAATGCTTCAATTTTCTTGGTATTTACCTTCTACAAAAAATTGTTTCATGATTGATCACATACCTTTTTACTAAGAGCAATAAGCATTTTCCTCAAAATGCTGAGAACAGACATAACAGAGTTTAGCTAAAAATAATTTCTAAACAATTTGATTTGTAGACACTCTTCAAATTAAGTGCTCGAAATTCCTAGGAGACCTGAAA